ACATCCCCATCTAGCACAGTAATAAACATCAGTCCCACCACAGTTAAGAAATGTCCAAAGCAGTTCAATTAATTCCTGGGCATATATAAAAGTCAGTATCTTGTAAGGTCATCCTCTTCAGAACATGGGAGCAGCCTGGGTATTGGGAGTTCCACACATGCAGCACAGTGCATCCTCGTGGGCCCCCACACTCAGGCCATTCTACTATAGTCCAGAAAAACAAGGAAAATTTAAAACAAACTGCAGCCATAGCAAAGCAATCCTGGGCACCTGGTGTCTTTTAATTGGGCCAGTTCCTTGTACTTGCTTTTAAGTGAGCCCAGGGGTCAAGATGACCTTTGAACTTTACTGTCAGCTCCCAAGGCTCCCAAAATCTCCGCAATCTTTGTTTAAAGAAGCAAACCCGCCTGTCTTAGGTTAGGTGGATCGCTTTGTCTGCCTTACCCGTCATTCAGAACTTTTTCAGAGCGAAGCTGAAGGCCCTGTCTTAGGTTGGTCAGACTGACACCCCCTCTCACCTATCTCTGGCTGCGATTTCTCTTGGGGGAAATTCATTCTCTTGGTGCTTGATTTTATGTAACTGGCTGGCTAAGCTCATAAGAGTTTTGCAGTGCACGTATAAAGCAAGGAAGGCATAGAAAAACCATCAATAAAAGCATTACCAGGCCAAGAAATGTCATTAGCAGTCCTTTAACATTAGTCAAGGATGGGATAGCAGTCTTTGCCACATCAGAGTCCAGAGGTGGGGCTTGTTCTAATCCAGCTATTTGCCTGTGGGGTTGGAAAAGATCTAAACTGGAAGCATGATAAAAGGTGGTTGTTTAACAATAAGTATGGATTCAATAATGCTGCAAGCAGTTAGTAAAAGAACAATTAAAGCAGATAACATTAAAAAATTAGCTCCTACAGAAATATAAAACAGTTTATACATAGTGGCATAGGGTGGTGATCAAAATGAAGGTCAGGCCACCAGTCGAAAGGACAGCTTCTCTTGTGGTGATATTGATGATTTCTGCGTTGCCAGCGCTGATCACTGCCCAGGTCACCCGTTGAGGTTGATGCAGATTCTGTAGGGCCATTGCCAGGACTGGGAGGGTCAGGACAGCCAATAGTTGGAGTATTGCCATCTGCAATTGATAGAGAACACAAGAGCTTCTCAAGAGCTGGTTGCCCTTGGGGATGGTTAGTAATTATCTTTTTGACTTTTTTAAACACAAGCCTTGGCCACCATAGCCATTTTTCTTTCCTTGTTGGTTAGCTTATCCTTGGGCATCCTCCTGTACAGAAGAAATGGGTAAAAACTTAAGGTTCCTGGCAGGGATCCAAATGGGGGCTGTTTCCCCTATGGGAAAAACGCATCCAAATCCCCTGCCCATGGTAACTAGGGGGTCAGGTCCTCTCCATTGTTGTGTCAGGGTATCCTTCCACCTGACTTTCACTTGGGGCTTAGGGTTTAGTTGTCCCCAGTGCTTCTGAAATCTGGATTCCATTGCCCCTTTGAAAAATTTAAAATGTTAATGGTAACCAAAGCTATCTGTAACTGTATATGGGGGCTAACTCCCCTTTTTTGTTTTTAATAATTGCTCCTTAAGACATTGGTGATTTCTTTCTATAGCTTGGCCTTGGAGATGATAGGGAATTCCTGTAGTATGATTAATATGCCATTTATCAAAAAACTCTGACATTGCTTTACTAACAAAACAGGGTCCATTATCAGTTTTAACTTGTGCTGGTAGACCCAAGGTAGCAAAGCATTGAAGAAAATGTGCTTGTGAATGTTTAGTTCTTTCTCCTTTATGTGCTGTGGCCCAGCATGCTCCTGAGTAGGTATCTATAGAGACAAAGATATATTTAAATTTACCAAAGGCTAGGAAATGAGTAACATCCATTTGCCAGAGGAGGTTAGGTTTAAGGCCTCTGGAATTTACCCCTGGTGGTTGTAATGGGGGTACTTTTAAGAAGGGCTGGCATGTTTTACAGGTATGTACTATCCTTTTGAGGTCCTTTACAGGAATCTGAGGAAATCTATGCTGAATGGCCTCTGTTCCACCCAAATAGGGCTTCCCATCTAAATCAAACTTGGATCGACAATCCTTTTTCCAATGGTATCCTTCCTGCACCTGGGGCAGGGTGTAGGGGGCAGTTTGCCCCTCCTCCCCCGGCTGGTTTGCTGGGGGATTGTTTTCAACAGTCCCTCTTAAAGTGTCCCTCAAGCCCGCATTTAAAACAAGTCCCTCTCCCTGATGGTCTTGAGGTTCCTTGGCCCTGGGCTGCCAGCACCTGGGTAATAGCCTCAGTCATTGCAGATGTCTGAGCCTGTAAAGCTAAAGCTAGTGATTGGAACAGGTGCTGTTGCATTCCCACATCCTGCGAGGCCACCACCCATCTGCTCAGGGAACACTCTCAATCCCATGCGGGCCATGCAGTGGTCTGCATCATCCCTTTCTAGACCAGCTACTTTACAAACTGATCTCTGAGGTTCCCTGCCAGCAGCTTGTGTTGAACGCTCTGTTGGTCTCAGTCTATAAAATCAGGTAGAGGCTCACCTGGTTTTTGTCTCACTTCTGCTATGGGGGACTCAGTAGGCACATCATCCAGTTTGTACCACTCGGCAAGTCCTGCCTGCCTCACCTGGTCACGGTACGGGCCAGATATTGCGGCCTGTTGGACACCAGTGGAGTACCCTTTCCCTGTCCCTGTTAATATGGCATAAGTAATAGGTATCGCAGGTTGAGCCTGCTGGTTATTCTCCACCCACACTCTGCATTCCTCCTTAAAGAAAGCACACCATTAAATAAACTGAGAACTAGTAAGGATGGCTTTGGCCACATCCAGCCAGTCCTTAGGGACACACGGGTGATGAGCAATGTCCTGTAATAAGGTCTGGGCCCAGGGAGAGTTTGGGCCATCCTCCACCACCACCTTGTGGAGCTCTTTAAGATCCTTAGCTTCCCATGGATACCATGCCAAGGGCCTGTTAGCTCCTGGTATCAGATTGACCAGATACACTTGGGGAAGCGAATCCTGTGGCCCAGGGTCCGGGCTCCCAGGTGGCCCTTCCTTTACAGGGTAGGCCTCTGAGTAGGTTACTTCCCCAGCCCTAAGCCACTCCATGGAAGGTTGGTAGGGGTCCGGGTCTTGCAGGTCCCTCTTGCAGGTCTCCTAGGGCGCTGTACCTCCCCCCCAATCGGGGGGAATAAGGTGAGAGGCTAGGACCGTCAGGGGCACCCAAGTGAGAGGGGGTAACTTTCATCCTCGTTTTGACTTCCACTGTGCATGTTTCAGTGTGTCCTCAGTCAAATTTGACCCATTCCTTTTCCTTCACACTTCCCAAGTCCTCCTTTACTCCCTCTAGGCCTAATGTTGCCTCCTTCTCCTTCTTCCATGAAATAGCATTACCATACTAAGGGTTTCACTTACCCTGAGAGAGACCGCTTAGCCTAGGCCAGTATCTTTTCCTTTCGTGGCCCACGTTGGGTGCCAGATGTCAGGAAAGACAGAGGGGGTCCAAGGAAAGGTAAGTGCAGCAGCTTGCCCGTTCCCCAGCCTCCCTCAGCCTGGGAGACAATCAGACTCAGCGGGGAGTCAAGTCAAGCAGGAAAACTCATTTATTGACACTTAGCAAGCACTTTTTAAAGCAAAAAAGAGCAGGTGGCATGGGAAGGGAGGAAGAGGAACCAATCACTGTCAAGGTCACACTCTATCATGCACCTAAGCTTCCACAGGCTGGTTATGCACTGAGTGTAAAGCAAATCGGGCTCTGCCTACTCAACTCCCTCTCAGCACCATTTTGCTGCTCATGTGTTCTACAAGGGGTTACAGTTAAATGAGTAAGGCATTGAGTACATTTCCTATTGAGCATTGTTGCCTCCTCCTTTGTTTTTCCTCTACTATCCTTCCTTTCCCACCTCCCCAACTACTCCCTCCCATTCCCCCAAAGTTGTAAAGTTCGTTCTCAACATAGTGTCTTGTACACCCCATTGTTAAAATAGGTTAACCTGTATCCCTATTTAAGAATTTTGTTTTTACCCTTCACTTCCCCAAATTAGAAAAATATATATACAAGATGCTGGGCACCAGAATCAAATACAGGGAAAATGAGTTATACCATGGGAGAGGCACATACCAAACAAACAAACAAACAAAAAAATCACATGGCACATTATAAATATGTCAAAAACAAAGCAAGCAAGAAAAAAAAATTGTGTCCCTATCATGGGATTCTTTTCACTTAACATTATCATATATGGTCATATGTATACAGTTTTTGACCTTTTTGCTTGTCCTAAACTTATACTAGTTATTGCAAATAAGGGAAACTATGGGACCTATGTTTCTTTGGACCTGGCTTACTTCACTTAGTATTTTTTTTTCCAAGTCTTTCCATTTCCTAACAAATGGGGCAGTGTCATTCTTTCTAATGGAGGCATAGAATTCCATTCCATATAACAAGTGTTTTTTTTTCTTTCTTGCTATTGTTTTTAATGTATTGTTTTATAATGCACTATGGGAATCTTTAGTTTCTTTTGTATGGTTTTCCCCCACAGTATAACCCCTGTTTTCACTGTATCTGATTCTGGTATCTTGTATATACATTTTTCTAATTTGGGGAGGGGAAGGGATATAACAAAATGTTAAAATAAGGATACAGGTTGACCCATTGGAACAATGAGATGTACAAGACACTATGTTGAAAACGAACTTTGCAATTGGGGGGGGAGGAGGACTTGGGGAGGTGGAGAGGGAAGGTATGATAGGAGAAACAAAGGAGGAAGTGACAATGCTTGATAGGAAATGTACTCATTACCTTACTCATATAACTGCATCCCTCTGTACAGTATCTTTACAATAAAAATATATATGGAAAAAAGAAGAAAATAAATTATCTATTGCAATCTTAAGATACCTAATAACATATTTCTGTGAATGAAGATATTGTCTTAGCAGTTATCTAGTATTTTATTATAAACCACATAAAACTTTTCCAACTACAGACCTACCTTAGGTAAAGGTTTGGCAGGTTTGCAGTGCAATCCTCCAACAAACTCAAAATTGGGTAAGTATGGGTGAGGGAAATCAAAATCCCAATATGTTCAGATTAGCCAAATTTCAGCTTTGCCCACAATTTCACAAAATGTTGTGGGTCTTCCTGGGGAAAAAAGAAAGAATGCTTCGGTGGAAAAGTATATATATTTGCTGAGGAAAAACACACTACTTATTTCCTTATAGCTATTAGGGAGAAAATTCAAGTCCAATGAAAGACTTACTATTTAAATGGATGCAAAAAAGGAAGGAAGAAGGAGGAAGGAACAATGGAAGGAAGAAAGGAAGGAAGGAAATGAGAGTTAAGTCATTGAGCCCGTTTACACTAAGAACTGCTCTGTGAAAATAAGGCTTATTAACAATAGAAAATAACTGATACTTTATGTCACTACGTTACAAAATTTGGGTTTTACACCTGCTAACTACATACTGCCTTATACATAAAAGGGAATATTTTTTAAAAAGGATTTGTCAAGGATGGCATCAACAAACATAATAAGAAAGTAACTAAAAGAATAATGAACTAAGTGGAATCCAGCAAATAAAGATCTGAAATTACTTTTAACATTTATTAACTAGGAGAAAGATTAAATTCTTGTAAAGACTTAGAAAAGTATATTAAATATATAGAGTACTTAATATAATCATAAAAGCAGTATTATTAAATTGGAAATAAGAATCAATAATCAATCTCACTGAATGTAGTATTCTACCAAATGTAGTATAATTGGCAGCACTGAGGTTTGAACTCAAGGAACTGGCACTTGCTAGGCAAGAGCTCTATCACTGGAGCCACACCTAAGGTTTTTCCTAGAAAATATGATAACATCTAACTTGTCTAGGAATCAAAATGGTAGTCTAAAATATAAATATAAATTAAAATTTAAGTGGTGAAATGAGAACAATCCTGTGATTATGTTAAACAATAGAAAACTTGTACAATTTTTAAAGATATTAGCAAATTGAAATAAAGAAGAGCTTTCTTACACTACTTAAAACTCTAAAATAGCAAAAGCTTAATTAATAATAGCTCTTTATATTTGATATTTTGGGCATTCTCAGCATGGTGACCAAAAGTCAGTGGGATACTAGATTACAACTAGTCAACTATGTTGTCATTGCTATAGAAAAATAAGTACCAACAATAAAGTTATCCAAATAATCAAAAAGTAGATCTATTCATCTATGTATCCATGTCTGTAAGTATATATGTATGTTCATATGTATGTATTTATTATATGTCTAATTGTCTATCTACCTAATGATGACGTTATGAGTAAATGTAAAAGAATATAGAAAAAAGTCATTAGAATATATATGACACTTTGCAATTGTTGGCTACAGCACTACATGATATAATGACAGTGATTCCTATGCAAAATATAGAAAAAGCTTAATTTAAGATATATATTTAATTAAATGTATTGAATAATGCCACAAAAGTTGTGTAGATTAACTAGGGTTATAATTTAAAAATCTCACAAAGCATAAATTATACATGAATAAATAAAAAATGAGGCAAAAATCTAATGTAGGGTCATATTATTTAAATTACTCAGCTCATTGTAACAAAAGCAGTGAATAGTATGCAAGGAGTTGTATGATGAATGTGAGTTTCCAATAAATAAGATGGCCATCTAGACAAATAGGCATGTATTCTTTCATCTCATCTATCTATCTATCTATCTATCTATCTATCTATCTATCTATCTTTTTCTTTTTATTTGATATATATTAGAAAGGGAGGGATCCTAAGTTGTTCTGTAGGCATCTAGACAGACAATAGCCAGAATAAGGAAATGCCCTAGCTACAAGATTCAATTTCCCTTTTGATGGATATAGAATCATAAAACCTCAGGTGACTTCACCTTCTTGGTACTGCAATGAAGATTATGGCCCATATATTCCTAGTTAGCACACTCCCTATAACAAGATGGAGTATAAGCTAGGAGAAGCATCATGACCACTATATGACCTTCCACTTGTAGCACCTTTGCAAAAGGATAGGTGTAGATAGGACATCCTACACTGTGTAGTCACTGTATAATTCCCAGAATGTTTGGGAAGAACACAAGAGGAGGGTGAGAACTTCATTCCACCTAGTAGCCCCTCTCTATGGAATACTAAAAATCCCATCCCCAATAGCTTCCAGAGGGTTTGCTCTTATTTGAACTGCTCACCTTATATCTCAATGTGATTTTTTTCTGTCAATAAATCACTCCTTGCTATTTTCCCAATCTTTGTGGTTCTTCTGCTGCAATGTGGGCAGCTTTTTAATATCTGATGTTTCACATAAAGAGGGGAGGAACACTGCCTTTTCTGGTAATATTTTAGTGTGGTGACTTGGATTCGCTAAAGGGTTGTGTCCTATTCTTGACCCCTCTGGGAGCTACTATCTTTTGATTATGTTACTTCCCCATCCCTGCCTAGCTTCTGTGGCAACCCCATGCTGAAAATTTCTTAGTTTTCTGGAATATCTGGACCTCACATCCATCTCTGCTTCACATGTTGATATTTTCCATGCTACATTTGCCCAACCTCGTGAACTGATGACCCCTTTTCCACTATGGCCTGGAACCCCACACAACCAAAGTTCTCCCCATTTCTCTGCTTCTTTGGTCATCTCCTCTCATGTCACAAATAGAAACTAAGGGAATTTATGGGAAAATAATGAATTGCAGGTCCACCTGTACTGAATTCCAATTAGAAGAAGCTCTAGAAGTTCCTTCTAAAAAGTGAGAAGGCTCAAGCAACAAATCCTAGATCTCCAAGATGGAAAGTTCTGGCTCCCTCTACCAATACCGTAAGCCATTTTTTTAAGTTTGAAGGGTTTTATGGAAGGAATGGATATCTAAGTTGGCCCTGTTGCAGGGCTTGCATCCAGCTGGGCAGAAATCAATGTGTGCCACAAAATGGATAGCCAACAGTCCACCCCAAGGTACAGGAAAACTAGATCACAGGGTGAGGCCCTTGGAGAACAGCCTCATCTCAGAGCACAACAAGACAGACATCTCCACCATGTCACCACACAAGATGCTTAACTATCCCTTACATCCTCTTCACCATGTCCCATCTCCTTATTTGGTGATTGAGATGAGTGCCCAGACCTGACACTGGAATCCTGGCTTTAGTCAGGATTAGATCTCTACTCTAAGACATCAATAGTCACCAATGGTTTCCTCCCATGCACAAAGGGAACAAACAAGGAAGGTATTCCAGTATTATATTGGAGGAATGGAGAGACTGGATATCCTTGTCTGCTTCCTGATTTTAGAGGAAATGGTTTTAGATTTGTTCACTATGGATTCCTAGCTTCTTCAGAGCTTTTAATTGACTACGGGTATATCTGAGGATGAGCAGAACAGCAATCAATTCACGCAAAGAAGAACAAAAGAGAAGAAAAAGTAAAAAGAATGAGAAAGAAAGAAAAAAAGGATCAAAAGGTTGGTAGAGCTAAACAAACAAAACAAAACAAAAACAAAAAACAAAAAAAGAACACACACATATACCCCTAAAATAAAAATTATAAGAGGAAGAAAAAAAGTTAACAGAAAACAATTTTTTAAGTTAAAAATTAAAAAAAGTTTAATTTTTTTTTAATAAAAGGTACAAAAAAGAGTTCTTTGATTTTTTTTGGGGGGATGGGAAGATCCTTTATCTCCCTTGTGTCCATAACCAGTCTCTTGTTGGAGTCTCTGGTCTGCTTGTGGTGTTTGATTTTCCTGTGGCTTGGTTGGTTTCTTAAGTCAGTTTGTTTGAGCAGGCAGGAAAATGCTCTGCTTTACCAAGGATTTTGTGATCCTCCTCCCAGGCTAGTTCAATGGGAGGGAGATCTGCTTTGAGTATCACAAAAGAGGGAGATGGCTGTTTCCTCTAGTTTGGCTGTGAGGAGACTAGGTTCTGGGTAGTGTTGAGGCCTTTCAGCAAACTGTAGCTTTTCCCTGAGGGGCTAGCTTGTGAGACACTCACAGAGTCCAGCCTGGAGCCATTCTCAGGGTTTATGTTTACTGAATTTCAATTGATTGTCAAGGCTGCTGAAGGGAGGGGCAGCCTCTGGCTCCTCTGTTTACCCAGTAAAGAAAACCACTCCTGGGGCTGGCAGAGCTTGCTAGGCCAGGACTGGGTGACTTTTCCCTAAGTGGAGCTGAGCCTGGCAAGTCTGGTTAGGTTCCTGTGACCTGCTAAATGACTCTTTTGTTTTCTTCCAAGGCCTGAGTTGGAGCTAGCTGCTCAGCCAGGCCTTTGTCAGTATCAAAGATGGAGTCTACTCACACCAGAGTCTTGGTTCCTAGGTTGTCTCTGGTCTGAGATCTGCAGGATGAAGATGTCTGCTCCTTGTCAGTTCTTGCTGGTGTTGCATAGAATCCACTCACCCACTGCGTCTGGCGCCTTTGTCCTGGACTCTCTGTGTTGCAGGTGGCGGCCGCCGCTGCCGCTGCTGTGGCTGCTGGCTAGTGCTCAGACCTGTCTCCTTGCCTGGATTTTCCCTCTTTGGACTAACTCTCTGTACTGCGATGGCACACTTGGTGTGATTCTCTGGCTTAGGCCTGTTCACTGGAACACTAAAACTGCTTTCCATGCGAGAGCTTGTTTAGTCTCCAGCTGCTCCTCCACCATCTTCCCAGAACTCTTCTTCAGAGCGTTTATCATAAAGGTCTGTTGGATCTTGTCAAAAGTTATTTTCTGCATCTATTGTACTGTTCATGTGGTTCTTGTCCTGGCTTCTGTTGATGTGTTATATTTTGTTTATTGATTTACATATATTGAACCAGCTTTACATCTTTATGATTTTTTTGGTTAGTTGTTAAATTCGATTAGCCAGAATTTTTTTTGAGAAGTTTTGCATCCATATTTATCAAAGAGGTGGATCTGTGGTTCTCTTACTATGATGGGTCTCTATCTGGCTTTGAGATGAGTATAATACTGGCTTCATAGTATAAATTTGCTAGTGATCTTTCCCTTTCTATTTTAGGAGTATGGGGTCAGTTCTCCTTTGAAGATCTTACAGAATTTGTCTGTAAATCTGTAAATCTATTTGGTCCTGAGCTTTTCTTGGAGGAGAGGTCTTTTTATTGCCATTTCAATTTCAGTACTTGTTATGGGTTTATTAAATTGACTTAAATCTTCTTGACTCTCTTTGGGGGTAAGAGGGAGCACAGAAAAGGTGGAACAAAGTGTGAACAAATACAGACTGATATTCACTGGACACTATGTTGAAAGTAAAATACAACTTGTGGGAGAGGAGGATCAGGAGGGAAAAACTGGGAGAAAAGAAGGGAAGAGGTGACACTGTTAAAAAAGTAGTGTACTCACTACCTGACTTATGTAACTGTAACCCCTCTGTACAGCACCTTGACAATAACAATAAAAAATAAAATTTAAAATTAAAAAAATGAACTTATACTAATGGTGTATTGTATTTAGCCATCAAATAAACAACAAGAGAACACATTGGATTAAAAATCAATTAGACTACTACTTTAGAGCAAAAGACAAACTTAATGAAGATGATAGAGTTAAGCACTTGTCATGTATATCTCAAAGATTACATTTAATGTTTAGTATTAATACCCACTGGACCCCCATGCCTTTTCTATGTTTAAATAAAATATACTATATGCTTGGGTATGCTATCTTCTTGAACCTTCTGTACTCACTAATTATCACAATAAGGAAAATTAAAATGATTTCAGCAAGATAAAGATCAATGCTATGTTTCCTATATCTGTTATTCAGTGCTAATCTTAACACTTAGTATTGAAAAATTAAAAATTAGAGTTACATTTTACAATTGCTAACTGTTGATTTTGCTTTTGTAAACTTGCTCACCCTAGACTAACCCCCCTCCCTTCTGGAAATAAGTAATGGAGTAAAAAGTCTCTTGGAGCCCAGATGCCGGCCCCTGGGCCAAGGTTTGTGGTCATAGATAAAAAACAAACAGGTATATGTGTTTTTCTGGTTCCTGTTTGAAAATTCCCTAAGTGGCTAAATGGGACCCAAAATAAGGACCCAAGATAGGGACCCAAGATAAGGACCACCTGGCAAGTCCAGCAAACTAGGCCAAATGTTAATCAATCACAAGCCTGTAATTATGTAAACTCCCTGACCCTTATCTCCCAGAGTGACTACCTGGTTTGATCATCCCCACCTACTGTTTTACAAAGAGTGTTATAAACTTCCCCACATAGTAAAAATGATTGCTAGAGTGTATGGTGACCTCTAATTACCAGACCCTGGTGTTACATGCTAATCTTGTGGTTTTTGCCTTTAAAAATGCCTGTAACCGCTGCTTGGGGCTTCCTGTCTGCCTAGGACAGAGAGCCCGTTTGCGCAAATACCAAATAAACTCCTCTTGCTTATTGCATCTCCCGGCCTGAAGTCTGAGTTTTCTGGGGCGCCCTCCCGGTGACGAAAGTATCCCAGAAGTCTGGGGTCTTTCAGTATAAAGCCAAATATTAAAGCACTGACCAAACAATAATTAACTTTGCTGTTGCCTAACTTTTTTCACATCTTGCCTTTTACTGACCCACTAGTACAAGGACAAAGATATTGATCTCTTCTTGAGTTAAAAAACAAATTTGTCAATATACTGTCATGTGGGTGTCCTTGTTACAATGGTTCATCCTGTGTCCTTATTATTGCCCTTCCCTTCCCCAGTTTAGACAAATGTAAATGCCAGAAGCAGAGTACCAAAATCAAGTACAGTGACAACAGGGGATATGCCATAGGGGACAGAACATACAAAGGAAACAATAAATACAACCAAAAAATAAAATCACAATGTACATTTAAAACAATAACAATAAAGGCAGACCTCTTGTGTCTTGTGGGGTTCATTTCACTTAGCACCATCTTATATAGACATATGTACATGGCTTTTGAGCTTTTCAGCTCATCTGATAAGATTATCCTGTATGTATACTAATGATTCCAAATATGGGAATTCATGGGACCTAAATTTCTTTGGGACCTGGTTATTTCACTTAATATGATTTTTTAACTTTACAACTTCGGGTTGGGGGGGAAGAGGTAGGGTGAAGAGGAGTGTGGGAGGTGGGGGAGGGAAGGGATAGTGGGACAACAACAAGGGAAAGGGCAATAATGATCGCCAAGTAATGTAATCACTGTCTTACTCATGTAACTGTAACCCCTCTGTACAGCATCTTTACAATAAAATAAATAAAATAAAATAATAAAAAAGGAAAACAAACTTTCCAATCATAAAGTTAAGTGAAATTTTTGAAGTAGGCTTGTTATGAACCATATGATCCACCTAAACAGAAAATAAAGTTTATGAAGATTAAATGTTTTTAACCCTTGGTAGTTGTAACCAGCGACTGTCTTCATCAATGTAGCCACAATTAAGTGAAGAAAATAAATCTTTAATCTACAGTTTAATATGCCAACAAAGAAAAAATATTCTCTAAGTGTAACATATTTATACTAAAGAGAATACACTTTTTGGAAGTGGTGCTATGGCTCAAGGGGTAGAGTGCTCTCCTTGAGCTGAAGAGTGCAGGGACAGCGCCTAAGCCCATGACTAGTCAAAAAAAAAGAGAGAGAGAATACAGTCATTATGTCAAAAATGAACTTTACAACTTCGGTGGGGAGGGAGGATGGGAAGGGATGGGAAGGAGAAACAAAGGAGGAGGCTACAATGCTTGATAAGAAATGTACTCATTATCTTGCCCATGTAATTGTAACCCCTCTGTACAGTATTTTCACAATAAAAAATAAATTAAAAAAGGAAAAAAATATGTCTCAAACTAAGGATTAAAAAAAGTTTTTCTTTAACAATAGTTCTATGAAATATGTTTCTGTTTGGAATTCAGTATTATGGACCAAATTATATTTCCTCCAAATTCACATGTTGAATCCTGACTGTATTTGTAGACAACTCTATTAAAGTTGAAGAAAGTTAAATTAATTCAAGAATAGGAACACAATCCAACACATCTGAAGGTCCTCTAAATGGAGATAGAGCACCCAGGATACACCTGGACAGACAAATGGCCTTGAAAAGTTTAAGAGAGCTATCTGCAAGACCAGGAGGGAAACATCAAAAGAAAACAACTTAGACATTTGCTCAAAATGCAATATTTAATTGACTAAATGAATTTCACCAATGTGAAATTTAAGTGCAGTAGCTGTTGCAATCAACAAGTCAAATTAATTAAATATTTTCTATCCAATATTATCTTTTGTTTGATAGCTCTGGTCTCAAAAATACTTGTCTCAGAAGCTTGCTTAAGTTGATGAATCCAGATGAAAGCTATGCTCATTAAAAGCCCTAAAGCAAAATCAATCATGCCTTTAAAATAAGATAAAATAATATCTCAACAATGTTATCACTGTAGTAAGAAAAGTGCTTTCAAGATCTAAATAAATATATGGCTTTATAGTTTTATAGCCCACATTTCAACGTAGTATTGTCATTAACAAAGTAGGTTTTCTTTTTCTAACAATAAACATTGCATTCCTTATCAATATAGATCAAATGTTCTAGGACAAAATATATAATGTAGTGGAATTATTTGATATCTTAGATCTGACTAAAAATTCTCCCAGATCAACACTTATGTATATTTTGGATGTTTTGATAACAATGTATTAAATCTCAAAATATCATATGAATAACACCCATTCTAATCTGCACTCTTCAACCTGTTACAAATAAATACTCTGTTGCTATCAATGATCAAGTTTTGTATAGAAAAAAATTTTGAATATTTTTTTTAGTTTTTGAATATCTTTTGCTTTTTTGTTGTTGGTCGTGGTAGTGGTGGCGGTCATAGGGCCTGAACTCGGGGCCTGGGTGCTGTCCCTGAGCTCTTCAGCTCAAGGCCAGCCCTCTACCACTTGAGCCACGGTGCCATTTCTGGCTTTTTCCCCCCTGGTTATATGGCACTGAGGTATCAAACCTAGTACCCAAAGCATGCAAGGCAAGCACTCTCCAACTGAGCCTCCTTACCAGCCTTTGAATATTTTTGACTATTTCTTTTAGTTTTTGAGCTTCTTAACCATTTTGATATAAGAAAAATAGATTCCCTTACTTAATACTTCACTGTAAAATTGATCCCCCAAATGGACATCATATTGTGGAAGCCAAAAATCAAAGAAAAATGTAAGCATCATATTTTTCATTCTGTCTGTTCCAAGGCCATAGGTACATAGGAAGGTGGAGCTAGGAGTTGCCCACAGTATCTCACTATGGTGATGCCCATGAAGAACCTCAGTGTATGCACGAAAGGGATCTCCTGCAACTCAGCCACCAGCTGTCCACAGGGAATGACAGGACTTATCATCACTACGTCATACTTGCTTTCCTGGAGCTTCATCATGAGTGACTGATTGTAGACTGTATGCCTACAAAGCATTTCAAAATTTTCAATGGTTCTAAGAAAGAATTCTTGTTATTTTCTTCTGCTTGCCAGAGTGGCAATGTTGGTATGACATTCACAATTGTGTCTACAAAGTATTCTAGTTACTTCATAGCAATATCTCTGTCATAAGGCATTTGGATCACCTCGAAATTCAGTGCAGAAGGCTTTCTGTAGTCCACTAAGACATTATGAGTCGATGTCAAAACTGTCACATCGTGTCCTTTTGCAGTGATTTCATCAAAAATCGTCTTTAAGTTGAGCCAATGGCTCATTTCACAGGGCCACACCAAGGTCTTCCCACAGCATCCGCGGCCCACACAGCACAGCTGAAGCAGCAGAATTGTCAAAGCCCACTTTGGAGACATGCTGCTTTCAGACTGATCTACAGAAACTACTTGTGTACTAAATTGAAGGATATGTAACAGGTCAATGATTAACTTCTAGAGTTAACAAAGAACACAGGATTAGAGAACTTTGTCCATTTGTTTGATGAGGTGAAACACCAAAATTACAGCAAATAAAATGCATTTAAATATTGACTAGGAATTGATTCTAGTAATCTAATCATTCTACATAAGGTGTGTTAAAACTATATTTCAAATTTAATTTCTAAATATAATAAGAGAACTAATATGTGCCTAATATATACTATGGAATAAGGTGTTTGACATTAGGTAAATCTAGGTGGAGATTTTTCTTTGTTTTTTTTTTTTAAATTTCAGAAATACCCTACAGAAGGGTTACAATTTCATGGGCAAGATAATGAGTATATTTCTTATCAAGCATTGTTGCCTCCTCCTTTGTTTCCCCTTCCCATCCCTTCCCATCTCCCTCCCCCCCACAAGTTGTAAATTTTGTTTTTTGACATAATGTCTTGTACATTTCATTGTTGCAATGGGTCCACCTGTATCCCTATTTAAACAATTTGCTTTTTCTCTTCCCCTCCACAAAGTATACCAACATCAAATACAATGAAAACATGGGTTATACCGTGGGGAAGGGACATACAAAGCAACAAGGAAACCAACTTATAAATATGCTAGAAACAATAGCAAGAAAGAAAAAAACATTTGAATCCTTATCTTGGGGTTCATTTTGCCTAACATCAACTTATATGACCATCTCTGCTTTTCTCAGACATACACTAGTTATTGCAAATAAAGGAAACCATGGGACCTATGTTTCTTTGGGCCTGGCTTACTTCACTTAATATAATTTTCCCAAGTCTTTCCATTTCCTAATAAATGGGGCAATGTCATTCTTCCTGATTGAGGCATAGAATTCCATTGTGTATATATAGCACATTTTCTTGATCCATTCATCTACTGAGGGGCATCTGGGTTGGTTCCATATCTTAGCTATAGCAAATAATGCTGCAATAAACATAGTTGTGCTAGTAGCTTTGGTATGACCTTGTTTGTGATCATTCAGGTAAATGCCCAAAAGTGGGATTGCTGGGTCATAGGGAAACTCTACTACAAAGTCGTAGTAAGCAAAACAGCTTGGTACTGGCACAAGAACAGACCTCAAGAACAATGGAATAGAATTGAAAGACCAGAAATGAACCCACAGACCTATAGCCATGTAATCTTTGATAAGGGAGCTAAAAAAAAATAGAATGGAAGAAAGACTGCCTCTTCAGTAAATGGTGTTGGCAAAATTGCTTAACTATTTGTAGAAGACTAAAGCTAGATCCTTATATATCACCCTGCACCAGAATCAACTCCAAATGGATCAAAGACCTCTGAGTCAAAACAGATATTTTGAAAACATTACAGGATGGAATAGGAGAAACCTTAGGTCTCCTTGGCACAGGCCAAAATTTTCTTAAAAGAGACCCAGAAACACAACAAATCAAAGAAAGGTTGGACAAATGGGATTGCATGAAATTCAAGAGCTTCTGCATGGCAAAGGACATAGCTAGCAAGATCAATAGAAAGCCCACGGATTGGGAGAAGATCACTAGCCATACAACGGACGAGGGTCTCATATCTAAAATATACCTGGAACTCAAAAAATTAACTCCCCCAACAACAAACTCTCAAAGAAACAACTGCCCGATAAATAAGTGGGCTAAAAACTTAAAGAGAAACTTCTCTGAAGAAGAAAAAAGGATGATCAATAGACACATGAAGAAATGTTCAACCTCTCTAGCCATAAAAGAAATGCAAATTAAAACAACTTTGAGATACCACCTCACCCCAGTTAGAATGGCTATAATCAAGAACTCTAATAACAACAGATGCTGGAGGGGATGTGGACAGAGGGAACCTTACTGCATTGTTGGTGGGAGTGTAAACTTGTTCAACCACTTTGGAAAGCAGTATGGAGATTTCTCAATAGGTGAAGTTTTTTTTTTAACTTGGTTACATACTTGTATGCAGTTGTCCCTTCCATTATGTGAAGAAAAGAAGAAAAGGTAATTTTTAAATAGTTACACTGCTTCAGAATCTCAGAGCAAGATCTCTAACTTGTATGTAATGGAATTTTTTTGAAGAGTCTTTTGGAATGGAAGCAGGCTTATAAACTGATCTTAGTCAATTTGACTAACAATAGGTACTCAGATGAATGAATAAGAAGGAGGTGAAGAATACCTTTCAGGAAATGTGGCTTTTTTTTTCAATCACTGGAACAGACAGTTATTAGATCAATATGTAAGGAGGAAGGGTTATATTCAACTTGTCAAAAAGGAAAATGTCAGTTATAGAAGGCTTTCAAGTGCCTTGACTATAGTACAAGTTCAATCTCTGTGAAAACATGTCATAGACAGTAGAGTCTTGGATTGTGTACAGAAAGGAGGGGACTGGATGATGGATTAGAGTGAGGTTTTTAGCATTTAAACAACAAAGCTGAAAACTCATTTTAAAGTTTAAAGAACTACTGACTGGATGATACTGGTGCTATTAAAGACAGAAAAGACCAAGTTATGAACACATTTTCCACCAAACTCATGAATTAATTGTTAGACATGTCCGTGAATATATGCATTGTGTCTGTGAAAGTTTGAATATTAGAGAAATGTAAAATAGAGAAAGATAAATGATTGTATGCAGTCACAAATCTAAACTTCACTTTCTCTCTAAATTCCTTTTAATTCCACACTTTTACAAGCACAATATGGCCCTCTGTAAATTGTTTACAATACACAGGGAGTAGGAAGGCAATCACAATATTGTTCCAATTCAAGGTGAGTTTACATATTTCAGGAAATAAGTAGCCAACCCTTGCTCTAAAATATAAGAAATATATGAGATGTGTCTTATAGGATAGAAGAACATAGCCCATGGAGAGAATAGCTTGGTTGAAGGAAAGGAATGATGAAATACTGACTTTGCTGTCTATAAGACTGCATACTAAAATCTAAAATGTACTATGTAATTTTTTGTTTCTCTTGTGTGTTCTTCCACCACCATGTTTGTTTTCACTATATTTGGCATTGGTGCCCTGCATCTTGTATATACATTTTTCTAATTTGGGGAGGGCAAGGAAATAGCAAAATGCTGAAACAAGGATACAGGTTGACCCACTGTAACAATGAGATGTACAAACAGTATTTTGAAAATGAACTTTACTACTTGGTGGGGGGAGGGAGTTGGGGAGGTGGGGAGGGAAAGAAGGGATAGTAGGGTAAAAACAAAGGATGAGGTAACAATACTCAATAGGAAATGTACTCATTACCTTATTCATGTAACTGTAACCCCTCTGTACAGTATTTTTACAAGAAAAAACATAAAAAGACTGCATACTTTTGCTAAATAGAAAAATTCATTGTAATCAGAGAATAATAATGTATATCCATTCTATGTAAGCTAATGTGTTTTTTAAATTGTTATTTCAAATAGTTATGACAAAGGTATAAATTATTGAAATTTCAAATTTCTAGTTAGCATCTTTTATTTCTAGGAGAACCCAAAATAGCCTTACTTAGAAGGAAAGCTATAGTTAGCATCAAAGATTAGAGAGGCATGTATTATTGTATCACTAGGATTTGAATAATTCTGAGTAAAAGTTGATAGGCTAAAGAAAAATCCCCAAGGAAACAACAATGAAGTACAAACATCAATCAAGCATATGACACTGTATAAATGAACTAAGAACATATTAACAATTTATTAGAGGATAAAAGTCCTTATACAAATAGATAACCTAGAAGTAATGATAGTGCCAAAAAGTACACTAAGAAAATGTTAACACTGCAATCTTAGAAAATTAAAATCTTTTTAAAACAGTAAATATGCCTGAGCAATAAAATAAAATACAGAATAAAATACAGAAATGAAGCCAGGTTCCAGGGGATATACCCTTGTAATCCTATATATTCAAGGGGCTGAGATATGAATATGGTGCTCCTTTTTTTCCTTTTTCAAAGATTTCTTCATTGGGATTAAGCAAGTACATATATTTTGAATCCAAGCAGCACAGAGTCTGGAGACTTAAAAAAAATAGGTTACTGTAAAGCTGATGAAAGTTATATAAGTCAGGTACTCAGTACATTTCCTTTGAACAATGTCATCCCATCCCACATTTTCCCTGTTTTCCCCTTCCTGACCCCCTTTTCCAGAAAGTTGTAGAGTTCATTTCCATGATAGTGTCTAGTGAGGATCATTGCTAAATTGGCTCACCTTTTGTCCAACCATGTCTGTGCTTCCCCTTCCACTCCCCCAAACAGATAAACTTATATACGAGACAAACAAATCAAAAACAGTGATAAAAGCTAATAAATGAAAGGGGAAAAACATAGTTGCAAACTACAATAAAAA